AGGCTGGGTATCATTTCATCACAGAAGAGAAGTAATGTGGGAAAAAGTGACTTTTTGTCCTGTTCATCTTGGAAGGTTTCTGAAAGGCAGCCATAATCCTCTCTCTGATATCATGCCAATTCAATACACATTTTTTGCCTAATTTTCCAATTCTGAAAGGACTTTCTTATGTAACAAGTCAAACAAACAAAATACAAAGTTCAGTTGAGTATTTGTAATGACCTCTATTGGTCCTAGAGAAGAGCAGAATACCACCCTCCTTCTGGTTGAGAAGTGGATGGACTATAAGTATGGAATATTGCATATGCTGTCAGATGGGATTACTGTTACTAGTTTTAACTGTTTTTCTTTTTTGCAAGGGAGGATTCATCTTTTCAGTTAGCATGTACAGAAATTACTGTGATGTAAAAACAACTGGTAAATAAAACTTTAATAGTCTAGGGGGCAGAGATTTGGGCTTGGCCCTGTGCTATTTACATTTCTGTCAGTGACTTGGATAAGAACACACAACACGTTTAGAGAATTTACAGATGACCCAAAGCTGTGAGGGACCACAAAGATGCTACATGACAGCCAGGATTCAAAAAGATCTGGATAGGTTAGAACATTGGGCCTTTATGAAAATCAATTGTAACATTAGCTTACAATTTTTCTAGGATGTTTTTAGACTTCAGAAGCCTAACGTATATTATTATATTTCACTTACCAAGACACAGAGATATTCATTGACTTGCCCATGATCAGCTGGGACTGAAACTCAAAACCAGATCTCTTTACTTCAACATCAATGCTCTTTCCCTATAGCCCTCATTGCCTCCCAAGTACTATGGTGTAACACAGAGATGTCCTTGGGGCAATTCAGTCCAATTCAATTCAAACAGTATGTAGTTTGTCCTGATACTAAATAACCCCAGACTATATAATTCTTCACTGTTATAGTGTTTGGTTTCTCAGTTCTCTGCCAAATCACTTTACTGCAGTATTGGTTGTCTCTGGATAACATGGATGGGTTATGTGCTTCCCTGCTTCCTGGAATCCCAATCTTCTGTTGCTCTGTAATGTTATTGCTAAGGAAACAGGATGTTACCACGTAGACCTCCTAGCTTCTCTGAAAAGCCTTCTGGTCCCCTTCAATGCTAGTGCCTTCCCTCTGTTGATTATTCTAAATTCATCCTGTGAATACCTTGTTTGTATATAGTTGTCATCACGTTTTCTCTCCCATTAGAATAGGAACTCCTTGAGAATAAGGGCTATTTTTGCTTGTATTTGTATTCTAGTGCTCAGCTGGCACATAGGAGATGCTTAATAAATGCTTATCGACTGGCTGATATATAGTATAAACCCATTCACAGCTGCACACACGAACAGCTTGTAAAAATGACAGCACCATCCAAGGTAACGCAGTTCTAAGGTCTCACTGCACACAAGATGGTCCAAAGCTCACTTTCAGGCCTTTTAAGACAAGAATTCTGGTGTCCAAGTGTGCTGATGCATGGGTTATCCGTGAAGACATCCAGGAAGCATCAGGAGTTCATCAAAAGTAATTTAAGAGTCAAAACACAACAAATGATCTTTATTCCTTTGAAACGCATTTATGTAAAAATGTATCAAGATGGATTAAAGATTCAGGACACATAATTTGTACTTAGCACATACACTGAAGATCAAAACAACTGCTAAAAAGAACATTTATAAACAATTAAAAAAAAAAAAACAAGAGTTGTAGATGATCAAGCCTAACTCTGAAAAGAGTGGGTCGGGTTTTTCCCTTGCTGAAAAGGCATGTACAAAAATCAGGAACTGCTGCATTTTAACCTAAAATTGATCAAATGTAGAAAATCTCAAGACATTTAAAAAAATTAGGATAGACCCTATTGCAACGAAAATGTCACAAAGGATGGTGCTAGAGTTTCTTGATTTTATAGAAGGGTTAAATGAATACGGTTTGAGTCTTGTAGTTTTCAGGGACCAGAGGGAAAGCACATTGCTTCATTCTGCTCAGTTTAAAGCAGAGGCTAGACTAAGGCAGTAAGGTGGTTTCAGATACAGATTTCACCCCAAAGTAGCAAAGAGGGTGGCTTCAGGCACTTCTGACAAGGGAGTGGCGCACACCTGATCCTGCACCCTGGCACAACTACACAAAAGTCACTCCCCCCCCCACCACATACACATTAATTTCATCAGATTCCCCAAAGGCATTGTGGATGGCAATGGTTTACCTTTTGAGAGAGTTCAAGCAGAAAAATGATACATTCTACCAATTCTTAGTTTGTATTCAGAATTATCTTTAAAAAAAAATCAGGCAAGATAGCAGCACCCATCATTAAGGCATTATTTTAAATGATTTATAGCAGCAACTACTACCCTTGGGGATAGCATGTGGTTATGATTAGTACAATCAATAAATCAAAAAGTAGTGATTGATGCTCTGCAAGACACAAAAAGTTTATTCTCCCTCTAGAGTATCTTCCAGTAAATTCCATGAAGATTTAAAATCTTCCCAGGAAAAAAAAAAAAGGTCTTCCTCTCAGAAAGGGGCTATTGCATTTTCCATTATAGGGCTATGGAGCAGACCTGTGATTTCATCAGGGTAGTGAGCTCCTGGTGAGGGACTTCATCTAGCAATGCAGGCTGCCACCTGCTCTGCCATTTACATCTGACAGCGTGGCCTTGAGCCCTATAAGATGAAGTGACTGGCCTAGCCAGTAGATGGGCAAGACTTCAAACCCAGGTCTTTCTGACTCCAAGGCTACCTCCCTCTCTCCACTATGCCAAACTGCCTCTCATTTTAAGAGTCGGAACATTCTTTTTCACTTGAAACCTCAACCTGGCAGCAATATTTAAAAAAAAAAAACCACCTCTGGCTTTGGATAGTATCAGAAAGTCAACTAATCCAAAACCCACCCATTTTACAGATGAGGAAACTAAACTAACTCAGAGGGAAATGATGGGCTCATGGTCATATCACTAGCAAGTGGCAAATCTAGCTTTAGAATTTCTTGACCCTTCAGCCCAGGGGTCTTTTTATTACACCATGCTCTTATACCAATCTTTCCTAGCTTTGCTTGGTCCCATCAATTAAATAACAAAGATATATATCTATATTTGCTGCACAATAAAAATAAACATACACTTTTACTTCCAAATTTAAAATTGGAACAACAAAAATTATTCCTGAGCCTTGAACTAACTTCATTTTATTTGGAATGTCGTAAACAGTGATTTGTGACTAGCTACCATGGGCTATTTTCAGATATTTATAAAAAGGATGAAAAGCCCTTTCAAGACTATCAACAAAGGCCAATCAAACATAAGCTACAGGCATTTTTTTTTTTTACAACACAAACTCAGGCAATGCAAAGACAGACAATGTTCATGGAATGTGATGAGACTAGGATGGTCGGGGAGATCTGAAGAGTCTCAAAGGGCTGTCATAACTTTATCTTGATACATCAAACTCATACTCTGTATTCCTCCTAAATTCTTCTGGTTCTGGTTGTGGACATAATGCAAACTGTGGTCATCTTCACTTGTGGGTGGTTTCCAATGTGACCTGTCATCCTGAAATGATGGCCTGTGCCATCAGCATAGTTAATGGTTAGTGAAGGATGAAAACGTAAAACTATGGGTGAAATAACATAAGACGGTAACAAATGCTCTAGAAATGGCATGCAAAACAATGAGATGGAAATGATGAGATATTCTGGAAAGCAGGATGCAGTAAGCATTTTCATCACTTTCCTCCTCCCATTTCACGTATTTGGGGGGGGGGAAATCAGGTAAGAACCGTAAATTAAAATCCCAAATTTGCAAGGGGGGTAAAAAATTTGTTTATGGATGGGTCATATGCATTAGGAAGTTCATTGGGCAGAACAAGCAGCAATATGTATATATATAAAATTCTCTCCCTCTCCCCACAACAAAAATCTGGACTGATGAAAATATCACAGCTACTGGGTTAAAACAGGAAAAATGTAATAATATTTCCATCAGTATAAGTTAACATGTATTTTTCATTTGCTTAAGCTGAGAAAACAAACTGCATTTGCAACAGAATGACATTTGAAATTATCACCTAACCAAAGCCACCTGTTAAAAATCACACAAAATTGAATGCCTCTGAGAATAATGGCATTTCTCTATGAATACATTCAGGACTCCAATCAATAAGCTTTGGTAAGCTCTGGTAAGCTCTGATGAACAATGTTAGCCCTCAGTTTTTCTATTAACTCAAGGCGTTTATAATTATTTCTGTCATTCCAAGTTCTGTCTGTGCCTACAGAAGGCAGGACGCTCCCCTCTGAAGAATCACAGAATCCTGGAGCTAAAAGGGACCCTTAGAGATCATCTAGGCCAAAAGGTTCTTAACCTAGGGTCTGTAAATTTGGTTTTTAAAAACTATTTTGATAACATTATGTCAATATAATTGGTTTCCTCTGAATCCAATGTGTTTCATGCATTTGAAATATTTTGTAGTTTGACCAGGTCTGACTAGACCACCAAAGGGGTCTGTGACACCAAAATAGTTAAGAACCTTTAATCCAGTCCAACCCCATTCATTTTGCTCAGAAAGAAACCTGAAGCCTCAGCAGAGGTATAGGGTGATTTGAGCAAGGTCAGTCAGTCAACAGGTAGAAGATCTGGTATTGAATTGAGGTATCCTTACTTCAAAATCCAAGGGTCTTTCCACTTCATTACACCTGTACCCCATGTCTGTGTCTTCCCATGTCAAGATAAAACATTACTTAGAACTTTTAAGAGCCATTTTCATGTTTTCACAAAAAGCACTGAAGTTATCAACAAGGTTTTAAAAAGCAATGGACTTTCCTTTTAGAGAACTTCCGTGCATCAGATAACATAAAAATTCCTTTGTGACTAGTCTGATTATCACTGAGGAAGCTTTTACTGTTAAGTTTCTTTTGATTCAGTAACTAAGTATAATTTGAAAGCATTTTTTTAAAGAATCATTGACAAAAACAACGTTCTTCCAAAGTGCTTACCTTACATTTGGAGAATGAGGATGCCACTGTTGTTGTCCAGCATGTATATTAGGATGGTATTGCATCTGGAAGCAAAATATTAACCATGATCAGTTTATTCACAATTTCATTTAGACAAGAATTCATTTGCTTTATATTTTAACTTTCATATCCCCTGGAGGGGATAGGTGACAGACCATGGTAACAAGTGCTCAGAGAAAACACAAAGTTAAGATTCTACCTAATCATTCTATTGCCCCTGTTTATAAAAAAATAAATAGGTATAATGCAATAGTTCTAGTTGATTCTGGAAGCATAAGCTTTCAGGTTACGAAGAAATAAGAACCAATCTTTTTTAAAAAATTTTATCCATTAATTTATTTATTTTTAGTTTTCAACATTCACTTCCACAAGATTTTGAGTTCCAAATTTTCTCCCCATCTCATCCCTCTTCCCATCCCCAAGACAGCATGCGTTCTAAATATCCCTTTTCCTAGTCTGCCCTCCCTTCTAACCCCCCCCACACCCCTTCTCTTATCTTCTTCCTCTTCTGTTTTCCTGTACAGCAGGATAGATTTCTATAACGCATTGCCTGTATGTCTTATTTCCCAGTTGCATGTGAAAATAATTTTTTAACATTTGTTTTTAAAACTTTGGGTTCCAAATTTTCTCCCTTCCTCCCTCCCCACTCACCCTCATTGAGAAGGCAAGCAACTCGATACAAAGAACCTGCCCTTTAAGAGAAAACAGGTCCTTAGAAGAAAAGTCAAAGGGTCCTTATCAGAAGAATGAGGATGAACAGTTCCCATTTTCCTCACAGACAGAACCAAAGGAAGCTGGGCTTAAGCTGTATCAGGAAGAACTTTCTGTAGGAAAAGTATCCAAGTGGGCAACATTATTCCAGAACCAGAGGCGGGTGTGAAATTTCATTCCCTGGCGTTTCTTAGAAATGCCAAAACAACAACAACAACAAAACAAACCCTACCACACGTTGGGATAGCATGTGAGAGAGGAATTATTTCCCCCTTTGTAGATGTGGAAACACGCAAGAAACCACCACAAAGTCACAAATCAGTTCAGTTAACGGTGGAATGGGAAGAGATTCCATCTCTTGACCAGTATTACAATCTCCAAATTGAAAGCTGTCTCAAAATCACAAACCCTTAGGAGAAAAGTAGAACCAGGCAATTCAACATATCCAACATTACACCATTTGTGACAAAATCCCATCACTGTTCGGGCCATTAAAACTAGCTCCCATGCTGAGAATATCCTGATGACAGTTATAGGATTGATGTAATAGTTTAAGGTATGCAAAGTACTTATATATCGCCTCACTGGCTCCTCAGAACAAGCCTGGGCCATACGGTTAGTGAATTGAGGAAGAATATGAATTCCCATCTTCTGGACTTCAAGCCCAGTGCCCTGCCCACTGCACCACCTACCTTCCTGACAAGTGAGCAAGAGAAGTCCTGTTTTCTTCACTGGCAGAAGCCCAGGAGCAGTCTCTCTAAGCTTTTTACCATGTAGATAACTTATCTACAGCTTTCTTATTGGAATCAGGTAGATTCCACAACCTGTACCAGCTCTTTGCTTCACTAGTTAAAAACCCTCTCACGCACACAGGCAGTATTTGTCCATATCCAACTTTATCCATCTTTTTTTTGGAGGGTTATTAGCCCATATCTTTAGTTATATAACTCATTTAAAATGAAGAAAAGATGGTTTAAGGATATCCCTTCTGGGTACTGAGAAGTTCAAAAAATCAATTCTCATTAATTCTTTTCTTGGCAAATCAATTGGAAAATAAAGTATGATTACCTAGCCTTGATGCAGCAATCTGTTTCAGAGAATGGAAAGATGCATTGTTATAATAAGTAGCCAAAGACTTGAAGAGAAACAATGGTGTGATTGCAGCAAAATTCAAAATAAGAACAAATCTTTGTCTGATCCCTATCTCCATAACAGGCCCTTTTTCTAAGTACGAGTGTGTATGCTCCGACAGCTTGGATGAGGGGAGCCTGAGAGCTGGGTGGCTGCTGGGCTTTTGTTCTGTCGGTTTATTTTGATACTTAAAAGGATTAATGACTCCATTGATATATGTACTTCCTCTGCCAAAACAGATCACAACCCCTCTAATCAAATCAATTTATCAACAAACATTTATTATGTCTAGAGAAGCAAATGGTAAACCACTCCAGTATCTCCGCCAAGAAAACCCCATGGACCCGTCATGAAGAGTCAAACGTGACTAAAACAATTATACAACAAAAATCATGCCATTCACAATGTATATAAAATATATTGTACACACAGTGCCTGGGGCAGGGAGGCACTCCACTAACCACTGGAGGATTAGGAAAAGCTTCTCGGAAGAGCCTCTACAGGTGAGCCCAGAAGGAAACGAGGGATTCTGAGAAGGAGAGGACAAAAGGGAGAGAGAATCCTGGGGCAAGGGGTACACCCTGTGCAAAAGCATGCAGACCAGACTGGGCTTGATATAACGGGAAAGAGCTAGGAACCCTGCTTGGCTGGACCACAAAGGTTCTGAGGTGCGAATAATGCAACTAGCCTGGAATGAAGCTGGAGCCAGATTATGAAGGGCTTTAACTAAAGGCAGTGGGGAGCCCCTGAAGTTTCTTGAGCAGGGAAGTGACATGGTTGGACCTGCTGATTTTGGAATATCAACTTAGCAGCTATAATGGAGGATGGCCTGGAGAGAGGAGAGATATGTGTACACCTTTGTATATCATCAAGGAGGTGCCACTAATGTCACAGGATGGCCAAACCTCTGATGATGAACCTTTCTGAACTTAGCAAAGCACAGTTTGTTGTTGGGGTACAAAAGCCTTCATGACTCTGTGGCAGAGTTGTTCAGTTGTTTTCGGCTATGTCCAAATCTTCATGAAATCTTTTAGGGTTTTCCTGGCAAAGATAGAGTGGTTTGTCATTTCCTTCTCTAGCTCATTTTACAGATGAAGAAACTGAGGCAAACAGGGTCAAGTCACTTGTCCAGGGCCACATAGCTTGTAAGTGTCTGAGGTCAGATTTGAACTCAGGAAGATGAGTCTTCCTGACTTCAGGCCCAGCACTCTATCCACTGCACCATCTAGCCGCCCTTACAGCTTGGTAGGACCTGCCTATATGGTATATAAGCAAAAGCCTTCAAAAAATCTATCAAGGAACACTTATTCTTAAACACCCCACAGAATCACAGAATGTGGTTAAACCTAGAAGGTGGTATAGTGACCATCTAGTCTAACCTCCTCATTTTACAGATGAGGAAACTGAGGCTGTCTGCAGGGAAGGGATTTGCCTATGGCAAGGGGCAAAGCTCAAATTCAAATCCAGATGTTTTGATTCGAGGTCCAGTCCTCCCTGGTTGCTTCCTTTCCCACCAAGGAAACTCATCTACACTTCCAAGTCACTATTTAAAAAAACACAGAAACAACAGCAAAAATTTACATAGCAATTTATAAGTCACAAAGTCCTGTCCCTTCTCATTTCTTACAACCTTGGGAGTTAGGGGTACAAATATTCCATTTTATACATGAGAAAACAGAGACTCAGAGAGTGACTTGCCATGGTCATACAACTAACATGTCCAGAGTAGAACTGTACTGACAACCCAACTGATAGATACCAAGTCCTCTGCTCTTTTCATAACATCTAGCATTTTAATGGAAGGGAAAAACCCAAACAGAAAACCTATGGAAAAAAAGATGAGCCTGGAAAATGAAAAAGTTCCTCTGCTCAAGATACCCATGTTCATTCATTTTTCTTGTGAGAGAATGGCATCATTTATATTTCATCCCTGGATTCTGCAAGTGTGATTTCCATCAATGCACAGCCACTACAACAAAATACCTCTAAAACAAAATAATTAGGAAGTAGTGGGGGTAAAGCTGTTCATGAGGCAGGGGAGCCGGGCTCTCATTTCAGTACTATCACCAATTACCAACCCATGTCCTCCTGAGGGCAAGACACTTAATCTCTTGGAGGTATAGCCTGTTGAGGGGGTTAGGTAAAATGGCCTCCGACGCCTCTTACAGCTTTGACATTCCGAGATTCTAAAGAACAATGCAGAGTCCATCCCATCACCTCAACTCACCCATTGAACTCATTTAGTGAGATTGTGTTTGCACAAATATATTAAGCTTTATTCTTAAAACAACACTAACACTTTAGGGACACCCTAGTCAATAATGGAAGATCAAAAAGGAAAAATCTTTTCAAAGACTAAAATGAGGGGAAAAGCCTGTGAGTGAAAGATTTTAACGAGTATCCAGTTTCTCAAAGGACAGTTCCATGATTTGTGGCATTTAAAACCATGGTGATGACAGCACCTCAGGGTGTTAATCGTATGGAATATTCTGGACCAGATGACTAGTTAAATTTTTGGTAGGTTTGCCCATTTTATTCAAATCAACTTAACCAAATTCAACATTAAACACCTACTGTACACAAAACATCTTTTACCCTATATAGGATTGATAAAACAGTGGAAAAGCCAAATAAGCTTACTAACATTAGCTTGGGGAGGAACCCATTGATCATTAGCCCAATAATATTACTTATTATTCCTTCAACTTCTGAGAGAAGGGGTCTCCCCCTTAAGCATGACAACAGCACGTTTTAGTAAAACAGGCTCAACAATTTCAACAATTTTTGTTTGGCCAAAGTTTCCTGGCACCTAAGTTTCTATTGCCATCACTTAGAACAGAGAGAACGATGTGGCGTATACAGGATGAAATGACTACGCTGAAAAAATTTAAAAATAATTTGCTCTTACCTGGTAATTATGAACTTCTGGATTATTTTTGGAGCTAAAATAAAGAACAGACAATATATTACAGAGAGGAAAGTAATTTAGTATTAATTAGTATTAATGTTTATAATGTTATTTGCTCAGGTTCATGTTGAAACAGAAAAACCAAACAGAAACAGCTATGATGAATAGCCATTTTGGGTCACATACACGTACCTCTTCGTAGCACAACCCCCCTCCTACTAGAAAAGCTCTCTTGCTTCCTTAGGTTTCCGTAACATTAACCTTTTGTGGTTCTTGTTCTATCCAATCACTCCTACTTATTAACATGGCCGAGGGAAAAACAAAAACAAAAACATGGAATCTGGAGTAAGAAAATGCATGTGAATTGATATTCTGCCATTTTTTATTGGTACAACCTATAAGTTGAAGGAGTTAGAGTAGATGACCTAATCTAAGGTTTCTTCTGCCTCTAAAATCCTAGGATCCTCTAAATTTGGATAAGATCCCATAATGGGCCCATTACTATTACACTGGGATATTCCAATGTAACAGGAGCTGCTGCAACTGCACACTGAGAAAAGTCAGTGATACACCAGCAATAAGGGGTACTGGAAGCCTTTCTTTTACCTCCACAACCCTCATCACTGGCTATAATGTGAGAATGGGATAGGTTATCCTTGGAATATATACATGTGTTGAATGGTCAGTACCACAGGTGCCAAGGTAGCCTTATGTACTTTTCAAGGCACTTTCCAATTTTCATCTCATGATGCAAAAGTTCTTATTTCTTTGACTTGGGTTTTAGCTATGACGTTCCTCGATGTTTTCAGTTTGAGGTTTCTTTGAGGAAGTGATTGGTGAATTCTTTCTACTTTCATCTTGCTCTCTGGTTCTAGATATCTGGCTAGTTCTCTTTTATGATTTCTCGAAATATGGTGTCTAGGTTTTTTGTTTCGCCAGTTTTCAGAGAGTCCAATGATTCTTAAATTATTTCTCCTCGCCCTGTTTTCCAGGTTATTTGTTTTTTATAGGAGTCAACATCTTTTGACTTTGTTCTAATATTTCTTTTGCATGATGGAATCACTAAGTTCTGATTATTCCATTCAATTTTTCAAGGAGTACACTACTTTCTGTTCTTAGTTTATTCTCTAATTAATTTTTTCCACATGAACTCTCATTTTATTTCATTTTTTTTCTTTCAAACAGAATTCTTCATTGTTTTATCCTTGCCAATGTACAAAAGAGAAATCAATAAAAATTGAGAAAGACAGATATGAAGGTCTGAAAAAAAGTAGAAACTTGTATGATTAACTTGGCACATCGTTACAAGGCTTAGGCTTTTGTGAAAGCTTAAAACAATTCTCTTTCTTTTAAGTAGCTGCAAGTCACATCCACAACACTGCACAGTTCCACATACGAAAAATGGATTAGGGGACTTTTCAGCATAACTTAAATAATATTTTACAATATGGTAAAGATTTGCAGGGGGAGGGAGATGGATGGTCTAAAAAGATGTGCAGTTAATGATAGGCCACTCAGCAAGGAATAATACTGTGTATTCTGTGGGCAAAACTGTTTAAATCTAAGAGACCCTGAGAAATATGAGAGGGAGAGAGATAGAAGGAAGGGGAGAGGAAAGGGAGAGAGGCAGGGAGGGAAGGAGAGGGGTGGGGAGGGATAGGGAGAGAGAGGGAGAGGGGGGGAGGGAGAGAGGGAGAGAGGGGGGAAGGGAGAGAGGGGGAGAGAGAGGGAGGAGAGAGGGGGGGGAAAGGGGGAGAGGGGAGGAAGAGAAGAGAAGAGAAGAGAAGAGAAGAGAAGAGAAGAGAAGAGAAGAGAAGAGAAGAGAAGAGAAGAGAAGAGAAGAGAAGAGAAGAGAAGAGAAGAGATAGGAGGGGGAGGGAGAGAGGGAGGGAAGAGGAGGGAAAGAGTGAGGGAGAAAGGGAGGGAAGAGGGAGGGGGAGAGAGGAAGGGGGGGAGAGAGAGAAAGGGAAGAGGAGGGAAAGAGGGAGGGAGAAAGGGAGGGAAGAGGGAGGGGGAGAGAGGAAGGGGGGGAGAGAGAGAGAAAGAGAGAGAGAGAGAGAACGAACATATGGGAGTAATATTTTTAGCAGTAGGTTTTATTTCATTTCTCTATCTTGCCTTATTGCTTCCAGTGAATCGTGTAGTCTTTGTGACCAAAGCCTTTCTTCCTTTGAGGTTCTGCAGCAGCTGTTGTGGTTCACTCTCTTCTTTTTCTCCCCTTTAAACTTCACCTCTTTGAGAACAGGGATTCTGTTGCATCTATTTTTATATTTTGGGAGTCTAATATACTGCTTGGTACTTAACAAATACTTAATAGACATTGGTTGAATCACACTGAATTTTGGTGAATGATTATGAAAGCTTCCAAAAACTGAATGCTCATTGACTAATAATTTCAAGCATACTGTTTTACAAAAATAATTTCCTACTGAGAGCCACAGGCATGATGACAGTAGCAGTTCACATTTAATTTAATATTTTACAAAGTTGTTTCCTGACAATAACCCCACGAGATAGGACTACTATCTCATTGTACTGTTTCTCCAATTTTGTAAATGAGGACACTAGGTCTGCAAATCATTAGTGATTTGCCTAAATTCACATCTCATAGGTTAAATGTCAGAACCTAGATTCAAACCCTCAGCTGCCTCTTGACCCAAGTACAGTGTTCTCTCCACCAGAATCAGAGCAGATAAGAGCTGGAAGGAACCTCAACACTTCATCTCAATCAACCCATGCCTAAACAGGAATCCCCTCTCCAACATCACCAACAAATGGTCATCCAGGATTCAGGAAACAGAAAAGGGAAAATGAAAATGGCATCTAGGATCAATATCTACAACTTCGATGTATTAGAGAAAAATAAAGAAGAGCAAAATGAAGTCCTCCATATCCAGTCACAACCACTGTTTTGTACATGAGGATCTGGGTAACACTTACCATAGTTGAGCTGCTTTCACTGGATTGTTTGCTTAAAAACAAACAAACAAAAAAAAAGTTAAGCCAATATTCCAGAAACTGAAGAAATATCACAGTTTTAGAAGCTGCTTTAAGACAGGTTGGAAAGAGGCAGGTTAAGAAAACTAATTCTTTATGTGAAGCACATCTTCACAAGAACGTTTTTCTAATCACCACAGCTGTCTATATCACCTTAAGCTCAGAGAGGTTCTTCATTCTCGGAGACAGTGTAATCAAATGCTTCAGTGTTTTATCCATCACTCCACAGATGGAATGAGAAAAGGGGAGTGATAACAGAGTGGGGGAAAGGAGATAGGGAATTGAGAATCATCTAGCACAGGTCAACTATTCTTCCTGGAAAGGGACACACTTATTTTAGTAGCACATAAAGTCTCTGGTCCTCTCCAACTCTCAACACTTACTACAGACGTCCCCTGGCTGGTCACCTCCTCTACTTTCTTTTGTTTCTTTTCCTTGTCTTTCTTGTCTCCTCTTCTATTGTTCTTAAGTTCTCCTATAATCTTCCCCAAATACAAAGAATCATTTATTCAATAATCATTTAATCATTTATTAAGTATGTATCACATGCAAGTATTATGTCAGGTGCTAGAAAAGATACAAAGGTACAAAGATACAAGCTGGTCCTTGCCTTCACTGACTTCACAAATTTAGGGATGAAGGAGGTGTACATACGCAAACGACCGCTGTGTGTGGAACCTGGAGTTAGGAAGACCTGAGTTCAAATCCTACCTCAGATACTTACTAGCTGTTTAACCCTGGGCAATTAATTTGATCTCTCTGTGTCTCACTTTTCCTCATCTGTAAAACGAGAATACTAACAAGCATCTATCTCATCGGGGTGTTGTAAGGATCAAATGAGCTAACACATAAGTGATATAATAATAAGTGATATACGTGATAGCACTATATAAGTGACAACTATTATAATTAATAATAAATTAATATACTGGCATTATATTAAGTTATATATCAAATCTTTTATGTAATAAATCAGAAATAATAAAACATCGTTATTTATTATTACTGGAAATAATAAAAAAGATAATAAATCATGTCCATTACATGGAAATACTTAAAATATTTCTATAAATCAGAATAAGCAGATAAACTCAAACCCTTTTAGCTCTACTTTAGTCCTAAAATGATTCTTTTTTCTTTTAATTAATTGATTTTTAGTTTTCAACATTCACTTTTACAAGATTTTGAGTTCTCAATTTCTTCCCCCTCCCTCCTCTCCCCTCTTCCTTAAAACAGCATGCAATGTAAAATGCTTCTTAGGCCCCATCAATGAAATTCTTTATTTATATTTCAAGTTCTCCTAAAATAGAGATTCTATTTTCTCTTACCTTATTTTGAACCTTGATTAGTCCAGGCACTACTTATAATTTAATGATTAGTCCACAAATATTTACTCAGTATCTACTACATGCCCAGACATGGTGTGTAATACAAAGTATAAGAAAAGGTTCCTATCCTCAGGCAGCTTCCAGTCTACTAGGGGAGAGTAGAAAAACATGCACACAACATAAACACACACACAGACAAGCTCTGATATAGGTTAAGTGTTACCAGAGAGGTTCAGAGAACGGATATATAAAGGAGTCCTATTCTAATGAAGGAGAATACTTCATGGAACAGATGGAACTTGACCCTGGCCTTGAAGGATGGGTAGAATTTGGATAGAGAGAGAGAAGGGAATAGTTTACATGTCTTACCATACTGATCTTCTTGATTCTAAATTATGCCCTCTCTAGCAACTCCACTTGAAGTGCTTTAGCAACTTCTTGTTGCCTTCTGAACAAAGGATAAACTGCTGACTTTGGCATTCAAAGCTCTTCATGATTCTGCTCCAACCTATTTGCCTGCCTCGACCTAATTTAAAAATTTATTATGTGGAAGGTATTGGGTGAGGTGCTAGCAATACCAACAAAAGCAAAAAACTCTACCATCAAGGTTCAACTGGGACACCCCATGTACATAGCAAAGAAAATATGAAGCAATTCTGTTTTTTTTTGTTTGTTTGTTTGTTTTAACTTTTAGGCAATTGGGGTTAAGTGACTTGCCCAGGATCACACAGCTAGTAAGTGTTAAGTATTTGGTCTGAGGCCACATTTGAACTCAGGTCCTCCTGACTTCAGGGCCAGTGCTCTATCCACTGTGCCACCTAGATGCCCCAATATGAAGTAATTTCAAGAGAGTAAGAGTGCCAATAATCAGGAGGGTCAGGAGAGGCCTTGCAGTGGGGGGATGGTACCTGAACTGTGAATGAGGGATTCTATATGGCAGAGATGAAAAGGGAGAGGATTCTAAACCTAGGGGACCACTTGTACAAAAAAGCATGGAGGGAGGAGGTGGAAATGTTCTGAAGAGGAATCAGCCAGCAGGCCAATTTAATAGGAACAACATGAAAGAAGTCTAGAAAGGTTGGTAGAGACCAGATGGTGAATAAAGGACCTAAAATGTCAGGCTGAGGATTCTGTATTCAACCCTAGAAGCAACTGGGAACCACTGAAGATTTCTGAATTAAGGGCTAAGATTTGTGTTTTCAGAATATCAATTTGGCAGCTGCATGGAAGACAGACTGGAGAGCAGAGAGTGAAAAAGGGAACCAATTAGCGAGTTATTATAGCAGCCTAAGTGAAAGGTGATGAGGCTTGGGCTATCAGTAACTTCTGTGTGAATGGGGGGAAAGGGACAAATGTGAAACTTAATGTTGAGATACACAGTAAGACTCTCTTTCATGTTTCCGCTGAATTAGACCACTACTCTTCATTTCTTATTTTATTCTATCCTTTCCTGTCTTCTCTGTGCCTGATGCTTAGAAGCTATTTAATAAATGCTTGGCGAATGACTGAGTCTTTGCTTATTCCTAGATTAGGCATGCCCTACTTTACCTCAACTGCCATCTGCTGAATTTCTCCATTTTTTCCATCAAGGCTCAACTCAGATGCACCATGGAATATCCCATAATTTCATTTCTCACTGAAGCAAAAATTTTCTTTCCTTCTTCAAATTTCTCATAGTGCATTGACACAACCACTTCTTGACACTTTTCTTGCCCCTTCTTTTATGAGGACTACATGCATGGGTTTTCCCTTTCTTCTAATGCCATCTCTTTTAAAAGGAAACTTATTATATCCACAATTTTCCAAGGTTCAACACCGGCTCTCTTGCTTTTTCTCCCCCTACCCTCCAAGGGAAGAGCTGGTTAATAGCATTAGATGCAGCAGAGACATTAAAAAAAAAAAGATTAAGTTTAAAGAAAAACAGCAGAATGTGGAGTTGTTGAAAGGAATTTTCAGTAAAGTGATACGAGAGAAGCCAGACGGCAGAGCACCTCACAGGGTAATGAGGAAACAGAGGCAGCCAGTGAAATCGAGCTCAAAAAATTTGTCAGTAAAATAAAGGAGAAAGAAAAGAAATAAGATGGCAGCTAGAGGAGATAACAGGAGGAAGCAAAGGTTTATTAGACATATACATAGTTGACTGCATGAAGACAAGCTGATGAAGAGAGGAAGATGAAACAAGGTTGTTGAAGGTTTTCCCTTTCTTCACCAATTAGGGGAAAGACTATAATGAGCCACCTACCAGCAACTGGTGCTTTTTTTCTGTGTTCCTTCCCAAGGGTTGACTTATGGCTTCCTACCCTTTAATACTGGACAACTTACAGTGGGATTAATATAATTTAACACCATACAAGTTATTAAACCATATCAATTATGAAACCTGTAACACCGATTTCACCATAAATCAAGCCAACCTCATTAATCACACAAGCTTAATAATGTTCCTCTATTGTATCTGCCTATTATTCTCTCATCATTCCTATCTCAATCATATTCCCCTCCTTTTAATGTATTTTGCTGTTAAAGACTGGCTGATCTTCCTTCTTCTTCTTCTTCTTTTTTTTTTGGGGGGGGGCAATTGGGGTTAAGTGACCTGCCCAGGGTCACACAGCTAATAAGTGTCAAGTGTTTGGTCTGAGGCTGAATCTGAACTCAGGTCCTCCCGACTTCACAGTTGGTGATCTATCCACTGTGCCACCTAGCTGCTCTAATGTGTTTACAAAGGTACCGGGCATGGGACTTTTTCTGAAGATGAGACGAAAGCTGCAATAGACCACCTTATTGTCAAAGGAAGGGAAAATCTGGGTCAACATCTCTTTCCCTCATTTGATTATTATGAACTGGTGAAGAGGAGTGCGTGGGACTTTAACTATTATGAGTAAGTTGTAAATAACTATGATGAAATAGCTTGTTTCTGTTAGGAAGGACTCAAAAGTTATATAGAGTCCTTTTAGGTCTTTGGGAATTAAGGCTGATGACAATTACACATAACTTACTTTGATGATGGTGTGGAGCCATGTGGGCAATAAATTTTGTCTGTTGAAAGGTCAAAGGACTCAGACGACCCAAGAGGGATCATGACTGTGTAAGGACAGATTATGGAGGGTCTTCACAAATCCAACCAAAAAGTATTCAAGTGTTTATATTAATGTCTGTCCATGTATTTAAATTTATACACCCACACTTCAATCATCATGTGCCTCTTTTTTTTTTCTCCCAGCTGAGTCTAATCTCTTCACTGGCCAATCATTTCCCCCTTCCTATTATAATTTTCATGGCACAATAGCAGGGGATATTAGCTTGTTGCTTTCACAAAATATATGTTTATTCTAGGTGAGATAGCTACTTCATTCTCACTATTAAAATGGCTATTTTCCCAAGACACTTCTGAGACCCCCATTGCCTGCTCACGAAAGAATGGGGAGGGATAAGATAGTGACAGACAAGGCTGGTCAAGAGGACAGAATTAAAACATAAAAGAAAAAGAGCAAAAGGGAATAGTAGCATGGCAAACACTGACCAAACTTGTCTGGGAGCTACCAAGATAAAGTTTTCTACTTCTCTAGGATGAGAGTAGCTAGTCTAAAAATAAAAAGTTCAGACTTTGCATTACAACTGCATTTGATGAGTTAAAGAAAAATACACTATTTGAGACAGAATGAAAAACACACAACCTTTAAAAGTTGAATGTCTCCGTGATGGGTACCGTTTACTAGGTCTTCTTTCAAACGTACTGGTTCTTCGTAACCGAGCCCCGTGAGTGGCTTGATACTCTGTCCTCCCACTAGAAAATAAAGGGTTTTTTTTTGTAGATTAACAACTTTATTAGAATATATTAGCAAAAGAATTTATATGGAAATGGATTTTTTGATTGGATTGAATAGGATCACTGTTTCAACTCAACCATGAGGTATAATTGTTCGAGAATTCAACTGAATCTTAAATTCAGTTTATGGGTCAGTGTGTTATCATGAGACAAAATGGTGACCTATGACAATTTCCATGACTTAATAAGTTTGGATTTAAAGCTTCTAGAAGTTGATAATTTCCTCCAAGGCACTATGCTTAAAATTTAGAGAAATACCACCAGGTAAATGGTAGTATCTGGTTACAACTCCATAGTCTGGATGTACAGCTTTTACCTTAGGAACAACTAATTGAATTTCTTAAAAAGTAGCATATGATCCATTTACTTGTGCTTTTCCTAAAAGAAATGACAAAAATAATAACAACCAATATCTTATATAAAACTTCAAGGTTTATGAAAAACTTCATATATATATATATATACACACACCATACATATATATATACATATATGTGTATATATATATATGTATAATATATATACACACACACACAGACACATATATACACATATACATACATACATACATATATAGAATATATATATTATATATATAATCTCATTTGATCCTCACAATAAGCCTATGAGGTTGATACTATTAATATTCCCATTTTACATATTAAGACACTGAAGTTCAGATAGACTATTTGCCTGTGGTCACACAAGTCTCAGAGAAAAGATTTAAAGCCAGGTCTTCCTGACTCTAGTACCATACTTTTCCAATAGACCACCCTCAGGTCAAAAAAAATTTACTACAAATCATTAACAAATTCCCAATTATTATCTTTATTGTACAAGATTTGATATACAGAGAAAGAATAACAGAAATACAGACAGCTTCAGTTCCTAAAATCAGTCATTATTAATTACTCTTTAAACTTTGACTTTCCCAATCACATTTAGTTCTCTGACCTAGAGTAATTTAGATATCAAAAATCTCCATGCCTCTAGAGAGTTTTTCAGAAATTTGATGCTTCTTCTAGCATCTGCCCATTTTCAGGCCTCCAATGATACTGCAGCTCTTACCTGGGCTTGCAGTTTACCAGACAGAAGGCAAAATTCTATTTATTTAGTGCTCCCAAGGACAATTCAGTGTCACACTACATAGTGACTTGACCCACAAATTGCCCCTTTTCTTTTGATGGCCTGATCTTTTCCTTATGGCCAAAGGACAAAGCAAAGGAAAAGAAGATTATAGGGTGACTCCCTGATTCTGTCAAATCCTGTGGTAGTCGCCTAATCAGGAAGAGTTCTGTGGCAACCACATATCAGATTGCAGATTTAGAGCTGAGAATGATCTTGGGTGTCATTCAGCACACGTACGATGTAAATTTTAATCACTGAAACTTTTTTTGTTTGTTTCATTTTTTCTCTAAAAGATCATCCTTAACCTAAATCATTCTGATCCCAGACCAAAACCTACTTGGTCATTGTTTGGGCCCTGACTGGCTTAGAATGAACATAAATAACAACTGTTTCTGGTTTGGCCAGAAACCCTGAGGGTCTTCCCCTCCCAGATTTAATTTTTTTTAAGAGGTCATTCTTTGCTCATTTTTATTAAGCCTTAATCACTGAATAGGTGCTGCCACAGTCAAAACCTGTTAAAGACCTTAGCTCGAAAAGGCCAAGGTCTCCCACTGCATCCTGGGCCATCTCCAGTTGTGAGCCGTATCTGGCCACTGGACCCAAATGGTTCCAGGGGAGAGAGTGAAGCTGGTGACTCTGCACAGCCTCCCTCACTTAAATCCAATTCACTTGCATGTCAGGGCATCACCTCCTTGATGTCATGGTCCTATTCAAGAACAAAGGATGAACAGCAGCAACATTTTATAGATGGACTATAAAGGAGGAGAAAGAGGTCCAGAGAGGCTGAGTAACTTGTCCGAGGTGACAGAGGTCATAAAGGAGCAGAGCTCAGTTCTGAACTTAGATCCCATGACTACAAATACATCATTTTTCCTTTGTATCATGTAGACTCCCCCTCCTACACAGACACTCATTGCATGCCACTCACTTACAAAGATGAGTGCAAACATACAAGTGAGTTTCTTTCAGCATTTTATAAGCTATCAGATGCTTCTCACAAAATGTTTCTTTCTTTAAGAGAATTTGCCTTTATATTTCTGCATACTTTCAAACACCTCTAAAGAAAACAGAAAATGCCCAGTTTTTTAAGAGTTCCACAGTGATTTCCTCATGTTGCCAATGTTTTCAAATGGGTAATTTCTGTAATTTGAAACAGATTTTAATGAGATGTATTATGTGGGAAAAGGTCCAAAATCTATGATTGCATTCACAGTTGAAAAGTTTTATGATTAAATCTGACATTCTAACAGAATCACAGACTTAAATTTGGGAGAGTCCCTCATCATCTGGATCTGACTAGAATGTCATCATTAACATTGTCACTAAGCAGTCACATAGAGGCAACTTAATACCTCTAGAAACAATCTAATCCTATTAGTTCTCATTGAAAATAAATCTCATTCTCTATATTAAACCAAAATCTGCTTCCTTATAATTCCCAACCAAATCTCCAAGTTTCGCCTTCTGAAATTAAGAAAGGAAAAACAAAAGGTCTATTTCCTTTTCTGTATGACACCCCTTCTGATATTTGCAAATGGCTAGTATGTCCTCCCTAAGTCTTCTCTCCAAGCTAAACATTCCCTATGCCTTCACCCAGTCCTGAAACAGCAGTGTGCAGCTCCCTCACCAATGCTGAACAGGCTCAGCATCCTTTCTAGAATGTTGTTCATCCTTCATTTTCAAACAGGAGCAATGACATCGTGGGTGATGTCTTGACTTGTGCGTGAATTGGATTTAAGTGAGGCAGAATTGCCCAAAGCCATCAGAAGTAGATATGATGCTCTGGATGTAGCCTCACTAGAGCAACCTTTCCCTTGCTTGGGGCATTATAGTCCTATATTACTGCCTCAGAACATTTGCTTTTCTTATGGATAAACCTGTCCCATTCTTTGGGGCAACAAGGTGGCACATCAGATAGAGTGCCTGTACTGGAGTCAGGAAGATCTGAGTTCAAATCTGGCCTCAGGCAATTACTAGCTGTGTGACCTTGGACGAGTCACTTAAGTAACTCAGTCCCTCATCTGTAAAATGAGCTGGTAAAAGAAATGGCAAACCACTCCTGTATCTTTGCCAAGAAAACCCCAAATGGGTCAGAAAGGGTCAGACACGACTGAACAACAATTTTTTGGAACAGTCTCTTAACTTAAGACAAATGGTTAATTACCTGAACCTAAATCGTGATCCTAGCCTTATGAAGTCTGATCTGTTGGATTTATTATTTGCTGGTGTCCTCAATCTAAAGAACGCGTGATGCTCAACTGCACATTTCCAGAGGTGCTTGCAGGTCCGGGAACTATCTAATCGGAAGACAAATGTGTGCTCTTGCTCTCGCCCCTTAAACACAAAATAAAGCATCCTGTTAGTTTTGCACACCTGATGTTAGTGAAGGGTTGATATGAAGACAGAAAAGTGAGCACAGAAATTACCTGGTCATCATCTTCTACGACAACAAGGGTTAATTTGCTCTTCTTAAAATCCATTTTAGTGATTTTGGGCCTAGTTACAGAGAAAACATTTTTACAGTAGAATCATAAATACAAGCAATTCATATACCAACCAGTGATTACCATTCTGTTGTTTAAAACTCTTAACCCAGGTGAAACTTTATTCAATAATTCAAGGATCACTTTGCCAATGATAATTACAAGACATTCATGCCTCTGAAGATAGTTTCATCAACTACTTGGGCAAAAAAGTTCATCATCTTACGGTCAACCTTCTGGTGGTGTTTTGTTGACATGAATCAATTTAATTTAAATAGGACCATCCAGAATTTGGGAGATTAATGTGATAACATCAGTTTTCTAGAAATGAATCTGGGTTTTGTAAAACCACCTCAATGTTCTCTCTCTCTCTTTTTTGGTGATTTTATTACTACGGAAAAGTCCCAAGTATGGCAAATCTCTTCAGCGACAGAAATCAAGAGCTCACATGTTATGTACAGTCTTACAGAGTTGTCAGGGCAGATGGAGGACTCGGGCCTACATCTGCCTAACTCAAAGGTCAGCCTTCTGTCCACTCTGCCACGCTAACTTTCAATGTTGTTATCATCCACTGTAACATGTCATTACACCACAAAACAGAACACATTTAAAATAATATTAGACAAGCTAAATTACCAAAAGAATAAACCTATTTTGTTAGCTCCTTCAAAGATTAATATCCCTGTTGGTGTTAGACCAAGAGCATATTCACAGCCATCTCTTCCCTACAAACAAAAGAAGCGACAATCAGTATACAGGTTTAATGTTTTAATTCAATATAATAAACATTTTTTTAAAGTAGTTAGCAATGTGCTATGCACTGAGAGAGATTCAACATTTATATAATATTAAGTTCCTAACCTCAAGAAACTTACAGTCTCCAGTACTCCTTTAAGTGAATACAAAATGTATTACCAAAGGCTTGTTTCTAAGTTTCAAACAGCAGGTATACTAAGGTCATTTAGTTACTAAGGTGCTTTTCCATATCTTACCTTAACTACATGCATGTCTACTCCATACATTTCTAACCATTTTGCTTTGTTCAGATAGGAAAGTTCAGCCTGTGCAGGACTCTTCCCCCTTTACAAAGGAAATAGAGATCTGTGTAAGCTGCTGCACAAAAATAAAGGGAATTTTCAATGCCACCTCAAGACTCTGTTGTAGGAGATTTGGATTCCTTCCTTTTGAGGGGAATTGCCTGCCATTTTCCTGAAGTGGGTATGGGGGCATGGAGTACCCAAACCTTTTCTTAATCTCATCTAACCTGCAGGGAAATACCAAGAGCTAATGTCAGTTATGCCTACCACTATGAAAATGCAACATGACTTTAAAACCGATGATCTTAAAGACCATGGCACAGGAATGCCATCCCATGGAAATGAGGGCAACTTGCTTTTCTATAAAATAGGTGAGCAACACCTATTTTTCAGAATTATGATGTTAAGGTTTTTCTACATTGAAAAAGTGCTTTTAAAGACTGAGTGGGAATTAACATACTTAGTATAATAAATTTAACCACACAGGCACTGATAACATAGTTTGTTAAATCCAGTGTTGAGGTCTTCTTCTTTTATTTATTTAACAAGCATTTATTGAATAAATATTCAATTGAATAAATATTCAATATTGAAGAAACATTTGTTCATTTATTTATTTATTTGTTTGTTTGTTTGTTTTTAGAGAGAAGCTTTGCTAAGTGAGCTCTCAGCCTACTTTGGCTCTAGGAAACATTAAGTTTACATTTTTGTCACTACAGACTGGTTTGTGCATACTTTGTGATTATGTAGAACATCTGGATAAAGCTAAATGGTGCAATTTTAGGGCTTTTATGTTTTGGGGGGTGAGTCCCTTGAGATAAAAATTACTGCAAACGCTCTAGGGAAGGTGTTTTCCTTTTTTTTCTTGATGCTGCAATTTGGTTTTAAACTACTACATTATAAGACAAAGCACATTCAGGAATACTTATTTACCTTGTAGAGGCGCCACATTCCACCATGAGGGCTATTTGTACCTTGTCAACAGTGGCAAAATAGCATTCCAAAAATCTACCATAGTACTTATAAGAGCTTTTTTTGTCTGAGGTTTCTACAGAGCGCAAACTCCGCAACACTCCCTGCCTTCCCCCAAATGCCTAGGAGTGGTACCCTAAGAGGAATTCTCAGACAAATTGAGGAAATTCTAGATTTCTCTTGGGATTTCCTTATTTATGTTCATGAAACCACCATTCTCCCAGTTACCCAGGCTTCAATACTGAAGTTATCTTTGACTCTTCCCCCACCCTCAACAACTAATCAGTCAACAGATGCTCAAATATTTCCTTTACAATGTCTACTTGCATTCATCCATCCGCTCACATACCCACCTGTCCTTTCCACCACAGCTCATAGCCTCTTGGCTAATATTTTGCCTCCAGTCACTTTCTTTCCACATCGAAATTTTATTTCAAACTTTAGAAGTACTGGTCAATCTAGTATAGAAATATGTTTTACGTGATTGCATACGTACAGCCTACACTGGATGGCTTACTGTCTCAAGGAGGGGAAACAGAGGGGAAGGAAGGATAGAATTGGAACTCAAAATTTTGAAAACAAACAAACCTTTTACATATAATTGGAGGAGAAATAAAATATTTTTTTTAAATGCTAGAGGAAAAAAAGTACTGGTCAACTTCCCTAAACATGACTAAATTCTTTTGCATTAGTAACAGCACAATTACCCTCTGGCCTTATCTTTGTCATTTGAGAGATTAGGGCAGCCTAATTTCACAATCAGAAGCAAAAATAAGAGACCAGCATTCACTTCCTTATTATAGTGGTTGCCTGGTCAACTTCCACCCTCCACTCAAATCCAACTGCTTTGTCTGCTTGGTTACTAATAGGGATCTAAATGAACACATTTAGTTTAGCACAGTATTAGTTTAGTATAATGTATTTTATTTCATCCTAATTCTTTGTCAACTAGTAATCCACAAATGATATATACAGTAAGACTCTTTTAAAAAGTAATGTAATTAATAATAATTGTTATTACTATTAAGGATACTGTACTATTGCCTGACCCTGTTAGGAAAGAGAAAGCTCACTCAATGTATATTTATGTGCACGCACACACACACACACACACACACACACACACACACACACACACACACACTTTATTACTGATAATGTATGGACACTGCCTGTGAGCAGTTTCTACTACTACCCACATTAAGGCAGAGGCAATGTCTTCTACATTTCTATGTCTCTCAATTCTGGTCCATGAGTACTGTACTTGAAAAATGCTCATAGATTATAGGTATGCAGGTATGGATAGAAAAAGGTAACCAATAGTCCACACACTATATACAAAGAAAGTTTATTATTGATTGGGGCTAATTTTTTGAAAAAAATTAAACCCTACATGGTTTTTATAAAAATCCAGGCTTCATACATTCTGGACAGCCTGAAGCAGTCCCACGCAGGCAGTTCAAACCTTATTATGAAGATCTAGAGCTAGAAGAACCCCAAGGGCCATGTATTCCAACCCTCTTACTTTAGAGATCAAGAAACTGAGGCCGAAGAAAGTCAAATGTTTTGCCCAAGGTCATGCAGGCAGTGACAGAGGCAAGATTTGAACCCAGGTCCTTGGATTCTAAGGGAAGAGTTCCATCCACTATACCACACTGCCTCCTACTTTTGTCTCTTATAGAATGATTCGTACATGGCTATCTTGATGACCTGAGAAATTGGAAACTTGGAGAAGGGAAGTGATTTATTTATGGTTATACATAATAAAAAGTAGGAGAGCTAGGAGTCAAATCCTCTAACTCTAAATTAGGTGCTCATAACACGACATACTATATATTCATCTCCAATGTCATTCAACTCTGTCCCCCAACCCAATCCCTTCTTGGGTACCCTTGTAAATTAAGACAAATGAACTGCAGTTCCTTGGTTAATTAGCCAACAATTGATTACTCTGATGTAAGGAACAGAAGAAAAATATCCCTTGATTTTTCAAGAGGCAATGTACTACAGCAAAAGGAACAATGAACTAGGAAAAAGAGTTGAAAACAATACTTATGGCCTCAGAGGTCTGTATAAGGATGTACAGAGAAGGGAGAAGGTAAACATTACTTCATGGCAATAACTGCGACTTGGTGGCTTAGGATTCATGACTGGACAATGGAGGTTGAAAATGGAAAAATATAACTTGTTCAAAAGAAACAAATCTAATCACAGAAGAGAATATGTCATAGATGTATGTCTGTATTTATGAAATTATGTCTTGAGCCCATTAGAAAATTCAGAAGTCTTAAGAATAAACAGGTGATATACCACTGAGATCAAGATAAAAGGAGAGAAAACATTCTATCATAGTGGATGGATGTCATCAGATGCCTGGCCACAGACATAAAATATGGGTGACTTTTCCCCCTAATATTAATTACCAATACAGATCAGTGGCATGACGGGAGTCTTTAACTGTCCATATACCTGTCAATCTACTGAAAAAAATAATAGAGCATCTCAAAAATTCTTGTCTGGTATTGATGACAATTTAACCTCTCAGAAGGCAGACTAAGGAATAAGGGAAATTTCTACTTCAGATTTAATTCTGATCAACAAAACAGAACTAGCTGATGGAATGAAAGCAACAAGAACATTGAAAGAAAGTGATTGCATCATCTTAGAAAGAGCAAGAGCCAGGGAAAGGAACACTGGGCATAATTAGACAGGTGCCCCAGACCTTAAGAAATTAGATTTTTAAAAGTTCTTAGGGGGGCAGCTAGATGGCATAGTGCAGCCCTGGAGTCAGAAGGACCTGAGTTCAAATCTGGTCTCAGACCAGACATTTGACACTTACTAGCTGTGTGACCCCGGTCAAGTCACTTAACCCCAACTGCCTCACTTAAAAAAAAAACATTTTTAAGTTCTTAGGAATGATAGATTGCTTCAATAACGATAGACTCTAAAAAAGGAAAAAGCACATAGGATTCTTAAAATAAATAAAGTTCTGATAATACAATGATTTCAACCATGAAACAATCTATTTAATTACAAAGGCAGATGGGATTTTAAAAGGACACAGAAATGATGGAAGAAAGAGGAATAAAAATAAGGATATCCACAAAACAGTGGTCACAGAACTCTAAGAAGTGTTAGGAAAGCTAACACTTAGAATGAACTGGAAATATTAGGAGAAAAACAAAAAGAATTTTAAGAAAAATCTATGTTAAGTAGGAATGTGGTATAGTATGCGATATGTGGTATAGAATGTGGCTTCAGATCCAATACTAGGTTCAAGTGTAACCTCTGACACACAATGGCTGTCTGACCCTGGGCAAATCAATGAACTTCATAATGCTCTAGGAAACTCTCTGAGACCATAAACTGCAGAGAACATCACCACCTACACTGGCAGAGGGAATTTCCTCACCTGGGAGTTCCCTATGCTAATGAAATCACAGGTCTTGTCTCTATTCCTATATTCAAAATGTGAAGAGGTAAACCCAGTTGCTGTTTAGACATTTCAGTCACGTGTCCAACTCTTTGTGACCCTATTTGGGGTTTTCCATTTCCTTCTCTAGCTCATTTTACAGAGGAGGAAACTGAGGCAAAAAGAGTTAAGTGATTTGCCCAGGGTCACCCAGCTAGTACAGTAAGTGTCTCAGGCTGGATTTGAACTCAGGAAGACAAGTCTTCCTGACTCTAGGCCTGGCAGCACTCTATTCACTGCACCATCTAGCTGCCCCTGGTAGATGCAGAGATTATTGTAAATTCCTTCCCTCCTTCCTTCCTTTCATACTTCATTTCTTCCTTCCCTCCTTTCTGTAATGGGTAGAAAAAGAGACTAGATCACCTCAAGTCCTTCCAGTTCTAAGATTCTAAGGATTTAGTCCCGATTTGACTACGTAGAAAGGGACTTTCTGAGACTCAGTTTCCTTATCTATAAAATGAAAATAACAATATTCACCCTGCCAACCTCAAAAGGATATTATGAGAAATAAATGACATAACATGTGAAAGTATTTTGGACGATTCTAAAGGACTCTACCAATGGAAGTCTTGCTATTACCACTGCTCCAATTTGGAGGA